TTTCACAAACTAGTGCATCTGGACAATGACTTCACAGGTCCCACTGTCAAGGCTGTTCTTACCATGCTGGCAGGGAGCCAGACGAGGCTGCTGGCCCAGGCTCCTTTTCCCAAGTTCCACCCAGACGCTGCGTGCACCGTCATCCTGCTGAAATGTAAACCCCAGATTCAGCTGTGTTTGTTATGGTTGCGCCGGCCCTCAGTGAACACACAGCGCTGTCACAATGTAGCTATAACAGCAGGGCAATATTTCAACAACAATTTATTTGGTCAGCTGCAATTACGTCACAAGGTGGTCAAACACTTTAGTTTGCTGGAATGATAATTAGGATTATTTCACAGGCAATCTTAGCAAGGGTCCTAGACACTGCTCTTATTTCCTAACACACCTCGACATTTAATACAGACGTTTAAGTCAAGTGCTTTTAAGTATGTTTTCACAGTGTCTGAACTTGACCCCACTGGACTGCGTTCACAGAAGCACCATCATTACTGTTTTTGCGGGGATGCTCTATTTAACAGCAGGGCCTGCTATACCCTGTTGTCTCTTTTAATTATCTGTCCACAGTATAAACAATAGTTCAGACCGAACACTAGTGTTGCCCTTGAGATCACTGGCCTGCTGCACTAATGGCTATTTACTTTCCAGGGAAAATAAGTAACCAAGAAAGTCTATTTTTATCCTGAAATGACCCCAGTGTCAACCCCACCGAGGTGAGAGGGTGGGAGGTGGGGGCACATCCTTAACTTTAATCAAACCGCCGGCCCTGCAGGCTGCACGCTGGTGCAACAGCCTTCACGTGATTAATTTTTTTCCTGTTCTCTTGTCAGCTCATGTGATCCAAAGTCACTATAACGTAGCAGATTCCAAGAGAATTTAATGTTAAAATATAAATCCATAGTCTGTTTGCGACTGGCTGGGGGTCTGTGCAGTGTGGCATCAGTCGGGTGGGTAATTTATTGTGGGAGCTAAGTGTTTCCATTTGCAGTAAGAGCCACTAAAAACAGACTTGCTAAAGGTTTCTGGGGGGCCCGCTTGTAAAACTGATGCAGTGTGAGCTGGCTCAGGGTCTGACAACCTGTTTGCGGAGCTGTATAGATGGGGTTTTAATGAATACATAATCCAGTCATTACAAAAAGGACTCCTCACATGTGCCAAAGTTGCAACTTTTGACTGTTGTGTTCTTATTCACTTTATGCAGAGAAGAGGGATGCATTTTTTAAAAAAGGGCTCCCAAGGAAAATAAACAAAGACCTGCAAAGAACTTTCTGTTGCTGGTTACTGTTACTGTGCTTTTACACAAGATTAAAATGCAGAGTAGCCATTAATTCTAACTACTAGGATCAAATATATAACCCTGAGTCCAATGAGAGGGAGGAAGTAAAGAAAATATGTTGATTTATTTCATGTTTTGGATCGTAGCCCTATAAATATACAGAGACATTTGCAAGTATCTACAGTACAGTATCCCACCTGACCCCACACAATGTAAATACAATACTGTCCTCACACAAAGTGCAAAGGTCATATTGCATGAATGTTTGTAATTAATGAAATGAAACTCACCATCAGCAACTCACTGTTGCCCTCTACTGAATCCAGTAAGCACACATTAAGTTAAGTTATCCTTTATTGATCCCCATAAGGATATTTGTTGACTGTATTTAACTCATCCTAAGTGTTAGAAGGGCTGGACCTAAGATCTATGAAGCGACAGTGCTAATCACTGAGCCACCATGCTGCTTAAAATTGTGAATAAATACATTTAATATTATCACCTCGTGGCCAGTTAAGTTAAACAAGTTAACCCTGTGTTTTGGTGGGAAGGGGTGACAGGGTATCGTTACTGGACAAGAGATGTGATTCGTTACAAACAACCTATGTAGTGCAATGTTAACATGATTACGATCTGTTTTTATGAACCGTTCCTTACACTAATACATATAAAATTGTTCAAATTAAATTAGCAAGTAATTAGCAAGTAGCAAGTAATTCAGTGTGTATATGCTAGAAAGGCAAGCACTTCAGCAGAGTTCAGGTAGGCTGCAATGTGGGATTTCACCTGGAGTTGATTTGAGACTGATACTACTGTATAAAACCACAGCCAAGTTTGGTTTGGCTGCCTAGCTGTTAACTCTGTCGCACAGAAATGAGAAAAGTTTGTGAAACACAAGCCAGAAGACCAAAGTGCGCCTCAAAGACCAAGGAAAACATAACAATAAGCGCAAAAGCACATGATATCATCATGCAGCTCAGCATCTGGGAAAGTACCATATTAACAGCCATGCAGAGCACATTTATGGTTTGACTAAACCAAAGAAGGATCTGAATCCACACAATGCAAGTGTAAGAAATAAAGTAAAATGTCAGTCCAAAGGTTAACTAATGCCTTTAGAATAATGTCCATCTAAAACACAAGAGAAAATGTTACCACGCTGATAGCCAGAGACAAGAAGATGATGTTGATGTTGTGTCATATCACTTTCTGCTGTAGACTACATATACACCCCCTAGTTGGACTTAAGCACCTTCCTTCCAGGAACGTTTTCTCCCAGTTCTAACATTAACCAACAGGCCCTATTTCCTGAAACCAGAAACTCCCTCAGCAAAAGGAAACCCAGCAACACCTGCACTAGTAAGAGGCCGGCCAGGACATGAGTCAAACATCCGGCCATTAGACTGAGAGTCTAATAGTGCCCTGGAAGTGAAATTTCTCTTTTATTTTGTTGATATATCTTACGTCTGCTCAACATCAACAATTACTCATGAATTTGTGAGTATAACTGATTACAGATACTGTGCTAAAATACATTCTATAAATAAAAGCACGTGGCTCTTAAAGGGAATTGTTGCATTATTTAAACATTACCAAATATAACAAGAAATGGGAATGAAGTGCTTTAATTTCACATGTAACAAATAGATGTTAAAAACATATTCCTGTGGATGATGACTCCAGTCTATTTGTGCTGTGGTCACATGGCTTCATATTTTGGAGTGTAGTGCAACCCACATGTGCCCTCGAAGCCCACAAACTTGTGCTGCTTTTTCCCAGCAAGAGTTGATTGATTGGCCATCAATGGAGACACACTCCTCGAATGAGAGTGCTCGCCGCAGAACTATCGAGTAAACAGACTTGGAAGTCAAGGCCAGCAAAATCCCTTGTGTCTCCATACCATCCGTTAGGAAGGCAAAGCCGGATCTCATGTATCTGTGGTCAGACAAGACCGCCACCACTTCCTCGTATTGCAAGGCTGCTTCAAAACCACGCCAGTGTGTGCTCTATTTCCCTAACCTTTTTTAAGGGTTGGAATTCACATAACCATGTGGTGTGCTTCTGGAGTTTGGGACTTCAAAAATCTCACTGTTTATCACTCAAATCAACAAAAATAAACGGTCCACAGTGAAAACATTTGCAACCGTGCTGAAGGAACTTTTCATAATGTCATAACTAGGCATCCCTTCAGTGTTATCATGTGCTTGTGCTTTCAGTCTCACATATTTCATGGTGGGCTTTGTTTAATAGAAGTGATAGGTTCATGCTAACTGGGACCAGGCTGTTGAGTGAGGCTGTCGGTCTTCTTTCGAACCCCTTTGTGTAAGGCGTCTTCCTGATTCATAATTGAGCGATCAACCGCTTGCCAAATTAAATCTGGTCCAGTGTTGACATGAAGTAGTCCCCCCCCTTCTGGGCCCAGCAGGGGTGGTCAGCTGATGCCAACAGTCTTGGTGCCAACAGGATGTTATAATAGTAGAGGGTATAAAGTGAGCCACTTGCACACAATACCATGCACAGCAGCTGAAACAGTAATTAACATCCGTTTCTAGTTTGCACATGTTTAGATATTCTCTGTTGCAATTTGTCACATGGGAGCCAACTATGAGGGCGTTGCCTGTTGACTTTTTGTTAAGAAATAAAGACTGGTTGGAATTCAGGACGCTCATTTCACTGCCTGAGTTCTTCCAAACTAACTAAACCTAATTTGCTTTCCAGTTAATAAATTATGTTGTTTCTTTGGATTTAATGGTCATTTTATGCCAGGATACTATTCTCAAGTGTTCTGCCGATTTCAGTCAATTGGTTGTTCAAAACCTTCATCTGGCCTTTAAAAATGTTTCCAAGGCACTCATCTCGAACTGGTGTTAAACGGTGATAAAACCCATATTTCATTGTTTGCAAAAGCTAAATGTCTCCACTAGTGAGCTCCATATGCTCTCTATATATACAGAGAGAAGAAAAACTGAGGGTGAAAACAACACCTATTTTTTATGATGTCTTGTAGAACAAAGGCTGTTTCGTTGCATTGTTTTTGTAGTTTGTAATTATGGAAACATTTAATAGGAATGTTGCAAACGCTTGACTCAGACTCAGGCCCATTGATGATGTTTAATGCTTAGCCCTTAGGTTTAGGGGATAAATATACTCTTTACAATGTGTATTTTAGAAAAAAAAAATGGTTACAAACTTTCTTCTGAAATGCTGCTGCAAATCTGTTATTCAGCATCATTCGTTTTGAGCTACAATTCAAATGGAGTTCAATATTTGCCCTCCTTTAAGTTCTGTTTTGCTCTCTACCAACTCCTGTAGGGGAATATCTGGCTCTTTAGCTGCTAAATGCCCCACTGTGTTCACGAGGTAGTCACTAACTTTGTCTGTCTGTTGTTTGGCGCTCAGAAGCTAGTGGATTCATAAACAGCTGCAGATTGAAATGCTGATGAGAGTGTGGAGTGCACCAAAACAATGAGCTCAAAGATGCTAAACTGTTCTGCAGACCCGAGGGGAACTGATGTCTGGTCAGAACTGTGGGTTTGTCATTGCGACTGACACAATTCACATACACATTCATTACTTGACCCATTGTTAATATATAATAAATTTGATTATAGCAAATTTAAACCAACAAAAGTATCTGAATGAACAAACTAATGATCTCAGCTTTATCAGTAATATTTGAGATTTTTGTTGTATTTCATTGCAAATAATATGCATTCAAGGATGACTTGCAAGCTGAAATTCATTTCAATGCTTCCAATAAAGTGTTGCTTTATTCATTCATTTGTTTGCTACGAAAGATGCAGGTGCATTTTTCAATGTATATTTAGAGCTAACTGTCTATTTGTATCAGTATATTCTGTCAAGGTAAATGTGATATCATCAGCAAAAAGAAACATGTATAGAGCACTGAAATCATAATTTTAAAAACATGATAAAGATATTTTAAGTTAACTGACAGTCAATTGCATGTTCACAATGATAGCAAACCACAATAATATCACAGAATTACAATACATGTGTCAGTTATTTACAGATTATACAGATTTAGAATACTACCATTCTAAGGAAGACATATACAGTATATGTAGACCTTGGAGTATTATATCATTTAAAAACAAAGAAAGGGTGTTTTCTATTTTGTCCCAGAACTTAGTTGCACATTTACAGTCTTCTGCCATATAGTATATTGATATTGATGGGGCACTTGATGCAATACAAAGCAGTAATATTGAGACATGCAACATTAAGCCACAGGGAAACCGTGTAAAGAGAATAAGTGACACCTAGGACCTGAGTGAGACAAGTCATCAATCAGGACAGAGATAGTTATAAAAAGGAAGATTGGCAGTACATCATCAGAAACATGGATATTACTGGGATGACACTGAAACACATCTGTCATCTTCTGTCAGTCTATTACTGTTAGTGGAAAACCTGTTCACCCAGCGCAAAACTATTTTTTCCGAGGGCAGGTAAGTCATGACCCCTTCTCTGCCTTTGATTGTAGTACTCATTGGTTTGGTTGTTATGGTTTAGGCATAAGAGTGAGATAGGTTAGGGTTAGGGTAAAAATGTCAGGGTAAGCCAATCAGAGGCAGTGTAGGGCGGGTCATGACCAAATCAGTCTTGCAAGTAAAACCAATGAAAACATGCAGTTTGTTTTAAATGAGCATGTGCAGCGTGAATAAATAGACTAGTTATTTTCTTTGTCGCATTTCAAATGTCCATTTTGCCCTTTACTGCAGTGGTTGTCATTGCTGTCTGCCACCTGCCTGCTTCACTATGAGGGCATGACATGCCAGGAGGATTCATGCTATTCCCCCAAATCCCACTCAGGTGCCACGACCAATCAGTAGGAGTCATCTGTGCACCGACAAAGACGTAATCCCTCACTGGCTTCCTACCACAAACTGAATCTGCTGAGCCAAGCCGTAAGCACCACTACCAGGCACTGAACCTGGACACTGAACCGATTGTGCTAACCATGCTAGACACAGCTGCTAAATGCTGCAGGATGCACATTCAGAGGGCTCATTTATCTCAGCCAAACAAAATAATGGCAAATTTATATTGCACAATTAAAACTTATGTCAAAATGTATGAGCCCACATAAGACACATAACAGAAAAAAACATTGTTTAGAGTCATTTTAAAAGACATAATCACACAAACATCTTTAGCAAACATTGCTGCTTTCTCCCCAGAAATCACTGACACTTGAACCAATGTGATTATATGAATATTCCATCAAATTCAACAAAAATCCTCTGAACCATTAAGAGTATATTCAAGTCCCTACTGCTGTGTGCTCTCACACTGTACCAATCCAGTGAGGACAATGAGGAAGCTTACAGTGTATTCCTAAGGAAGAATCTGGTTGCACCACATGTGTCTGCTGGACTGTCAGAGCTACAGCAGTCTCTTCATGCGGCAGGTGTGCTTCTCTATGTGCATGGTGGCTCGGTCAGTGGAGTTGGTCAGGACGTCCAGAACCTCGTCCTGCCGTTCCAGCTCTGTCTCTGCCTCCAGGGCAAGGTTCTTCAGCTGCATTAGCATCTGCAAACACACACACAGAATCCAATACTTACACACACTCATTTGTTCAAGTAATTATACACCAGCCCCCAGTGAACGCTGACAACTAAGGAGCAAGACACAAATAAAAGAAGATTAAATACTGAAACCCACAGATAACTGGTGAGCAGTTGCAGGGTGGAACATGTGGAGCATATGTGCAGAGGTGTAAAGATGGGGTGAATGAGTTAGAAAGCGAGTGTGTTAGTGAAACAGAGAATGAGGAGTAGATGAGAGTGACATTTTCATTTAATAACAGTTTTTTTTCTTCTCCTTTTGGCAACAAAGGCAATAGCCTGCTGTTCAGTGTCCGCACATGAGAAAGAAACTTTACAGTTCAACACCAATCATGATGCAATAAGAGCAACAAGGCAGATATATGATAATATTTCATATTATGCAGTATATGAAACTTTAGAGGACATTCAGAAAGAAGTTGTGGCTTATCTCCTGGGATCACTGATATCATACAATACTGTTTTCTGCTCTTAGTGGGTTTAAGGAATACTGTGACTACATCTCCATAGTCCAACAACTGTGTGTGTTATGGTTGATGGAACTACTTAAATATACGGTGATGTGCCAAGCAAAACCTAATAAACACTCCTCCAAACCCCACCACCATGGTTTCTAAACTAATATTATGTTATGCTACACATGCGCTCTCTCTCGCTCTCTCTTTGTCTCTCTCTCTCTCACACAGGCACACACACATTGACATTATGTCAGTTTTCACTGGCAGGTACACACGGACATTGCAACTGAGCACAGAAACAGCTCCAGACAGCAGTTTGAAAAACAGATAGTATGTCAATACACACTGTGGAACAACTGTATTCACTCACTCAGGTCTGTGACTTTACAATTTCAACTGGGAGAACATGACTGAATCACACCTTGCAGTTAACATTAACAGGAGTTTTGGTGTGTCATAGAAAAACACAGAAAATGAATATTTTTAGCTGCTGCTTATACAATGGTTAGAGGATTTAAGTCATGTAGAACCCCCTAAAATTAAACATTTAGGCTAGAACTAATAGAAAAAATACATGAGCTAAAATTCCTAGTGTCTTGTGCATGAGTGATGTAATTTCAAGCCTACAATACAGTACATGAAATCTAAAAAATGCTTTATCCTTCTTATGAGTGAGCTAGTTTGTACTGTTAAGAAGTAGGAATTTACAGCCTGAAACAATAATACTCGTATTAAAATGTTCAGACAAAGGGGAATATTTGCTAAAAGCACTTAGGACAGACTGAGTGACGCTCTGTACAAGTTGCCCCACTGTAGATTCTAATCTGGACATGAATAACATTAAGAGTAGGGTGTGTACAGAAGCATAGCATTAAGTCCAAATTGGAAGCCTTTGAAGTCTGAACCATTATCAGCTGTAGACAATATGCCACTTATAAACACAATAGACAAGCCAACCTGCATGACTGGCCCAATGCTATTATTGCTATGATAAATTTGTTTGGAAAATGATTATATAGACAAAAACAACAGTGAAACACAGTACATTGCTACTATGTACAATAATTAACTAAATATTAGGTATGAAGTGTTAACAATGCCTCATTTGAGATATGATTTATGCAGTGGGTAGACAAAATAATACATCATAAAGTAGTTCTTATAAGTAACTAATCTACAAAGGAAAATACTGCAACAAAGGTGGGTAAGGCTGCAAGCGAGTGCCCAGACTTCATCTCTAAAATACTGTACATGTCGATCATATCCTTATTTATAAATTCAAACTTGTGACTGCTATGCCTCTTTGTCATGAAATTTGTAGTTTTTCTGTCTGAGAAATATTTTTTCGGCTGCTGTCTTCGACATATTAATAATAATTATTAACCAGTTTTCTATTAAAGTGTCTGTAAAGTGGATACAAATGTCTCATGTTGCTTTCTTAACTCACACATAAAAGATAGCTGAATATCTTTTATAGCTAACAAATAACTCTAATTAGAGCCAGACCGATAAATTGCCTGGCTGATATGAGCTTATGTAACATTTAGGAGGATCTATTGGCAGAAATGGAATATAATATTCATAGGTATGTTCTAATTTGTGTATAATCACCTGAAAATAAGAATCGTTAACTTAGAATGAGCCATTTTCATCTACAGATGACACAGGTTGCCTTCTATGGTGACCCTTGTGTTTATGTAGTAACCCACAATGGACAAACCAAACACTGGCACTACATATGGCCTTTTTTGCATGTTTCACAGCCACCGTAGTTTCTGTTTCACACTCGGAAAGGGAGAGTGAACTATACCGCTAAATGCCACTAAATCCTACACACTGGACCTCGGCCTCAGAAACCCGCTATCTGTTGGGTTATAGTTCTGACTGGCATTCACCCTGATATGTCCCACCCTTGTAACAGTTATTGTAATGATGGTTTTGTTAATTCCGTGTTGGAGGTGTTTAGATTCCTTTGTTTGCCACTTACATAAAGTAAGCTTTAATATACTAAACCGTAGAGCCTTGGTGTCACTTCATCAAGTGTACATTCCTTTTTTAGTCTAAATACCATTATGTAATGTGTATCTAAGCATGATTTAACAAAAACAAGTAGTTTACTAAAGAGGTTTTGCATGAAATAGCTTATTCTAAGCTACCTGGAATAGTGTGTCAAACACAAAGAATTGTCTGAATCGTAGGTTTGGATTTGCGTCACTGTATAGTTCTTGCCACCACAGACTATGTCTGTAACATTTCTCAGTGTTCTGAATGGAAAGACATAAAGTCTGACCAAATGACTGAACAGGTTTCTTTTCCTCTCTTAAAACCAGGATGGACTCTGGTTTGTGGTCTCACTAAATAACATTTTAAACACACAGGATGAAAAATAATAATCATTATGGTGAATTGTGGTTTGAAATGGAACTATCAAAATACATGTTACAAAAACCAACCATTACTTACTATAATATAAATACAAATATGAAAAATAAAAATGCCACAATGGTGCAAGTCATATATTCACACACAGGTCTCACCTGTTTGAGTTCCTGGGCCTCAGCCTGACTGACAGATGGCTGGAGGACATGCACCTGCAACTGGGACAGATCTCCTGCTGGGACCTCCAGTGGGAGCTCTGTGTCTTGGCACTTCTGTTGCAAACCTGACTCCATGGGTGGAGATGGTGAAAAAGTGCATATGTTGTTTATGAGGAAACCAGACAGTAAACTCAAAGTACGACAACTGAGGCAATCAGGATGAAGTGACTCATCAAAACACATCTCTGGCAAGGAGACACACCAATAACCATGTCCAAGAGTCATGTGGATGAAATGTTTTCACATGTGGCTACACACCTATAAATATACAGAGGTGGAAACATAGACCTTTACTGCCACTTAGTGGTCAATTTTATACTAGACATGGAAACAGGGAAAAAAAGCCTTTATTTACATTATCCATGACTTACCTTCATTCCAGTTTGGCCCCTCTGTGTCACATGGAGATGAAACTGGAGTTGCCCTGAAAGCAGCGTATTCACTAGTGAACTCCACCTTCTTCTTGTGCTGCATCTCTAACACACACATTGCCTCTGGCATCTTGGCAGACAGGAACCTGTAGCATATATCTGGCTTCCCAATAAACCGCTGTTTAACAGTGATCTCATAAGGACTGTGGACCCTGATTTCGTCGATTTCATTTCGTTCAAAGCGGTGAAGGAGTTGGCAGTTTGTGTCTCGCACCTCCAGTGAGGACACCAGCACCAACAAGCATCCGGGTTTTAGGTCCGAGTCCCCACCTCTGGTCACTACAGCTGGGATGCTTGTGATCACCTTATTTCTACCGGACCCTCTGCCAGCTGCAGCAGCAGCAGCAGCAGCAGCTCTTGCAGCGTCCTCGGCCTTAGCTTCCTGCTGAGCTTTCCATGGGAGTTTACCAAAAGGCCACCAGGCGGGAGTCTCCAGCTCAGACAAAAGTCTGCAACACAGCACAAAAGGAATGGAAGAATTCAGTGTGTACGACGTGTTTCATTATGATAGTAGGCCTGGTTTTGTATTGCAACTACTTAGTTATAGCTGTCAACAGTATAAGAATAAAGCATGAACAAGAATGGCAAAGAAATAAAAAGGAATAATATCATCGAGTCAGGTAATATTTAGATAATTACTTATCAGCCACGCCCAGGTCTGAGTCAATCTTCTCCAGTCCCTGCATCATATCGTCAAACTGCTCTCCTTGGTGGCTGATGACTATGCCGGTGTCCTCCAGTCTCCTCTGGGCCCCAGCCACCAGGTTGATCAGCTCTCTGCCTTTAGAGGGTTGACATTCAGCCCCACGGGGCTCTGAGCCGGGGGACAGAAGGCGTTCTCTCCAGAAATGCTCTAACACGTTATAAACCACCACCCTGTTGGGCTTAAGGGAGCCAAACCAGTGTTTCACATTGCCCTCTTCAAGCACTGTAAGAGTGCTAAAAATGAAACTGGATGACTCCATCTTGATCTCCATGATCCTGGAGAGACGGAAGCTGGCAAGACTCTCCTTCCTCTGATTAGAGACAAAGCGCACCATGGTCCTGGTGAGAGACAGGGTGCCGCTCTCCCACCGCTTCTCACTGTTGATGTAATAGGAGCCGGGCCAGCTGTGGATTGGGACGTCCCGGCTCATTTTGGAAGGAGCTACACTTATTCACCTAGAAGGACAAACAAGGCTTCAATATCAAATATATACCATGCACACAGCACACTGGTGTTCATCTACAGTTCATAATCACAAGGACGCTGTAAAGAGTGACCTCTGTGTCCTGATACTGAGTACACTCTCTGCAGAATGTGATGAGGGATCCAAGCAGCAGATGAGATCAGCTGAGGCGTTCACACTGGCAGCTTCAGCTGTGGAGGAGCGACCTTTCTACCCGACTGACCGCATTACCAGTGCGTCACTATAGCGTTATAACCGCTCTGAGCGTGTGTCACTCCCTCGTGGTAAAAAAAGATATAAATATATAGTCGCCCCACGCCACATTAATTGAAAACACTACCTGGTTGTGCTGAGCATTACGTTACCACATACTGTTCTCCGAATCAGTGGTGTTTATCACGGAAGTGACGTCACGCTCGAGCACGGCTGTATTTACTGTCCGACTTGAAAATTGTGCTGTCAAAAAAAAAAAAAAAGGCTTTCACGATAAGGTTTTGGGATAAATAAGTATTGTTAGCTAGGTACGGCGGATTCTGAATGAGCTGCGATAGCGTGCAGTATTAGCATTAAATAAATTAAAATGTTAATATAACGTAAGGCAGTGGCAGTGTTGTATGTGTGCCTCGTTCCGGAGCCGTAACCTGCAATCTTCGGGATGGAGTCATATGCAGCGACCTGTTGTCAAGAAAAACAGAAAGAAATACGTTTTAGCATAATGCTAGTCGTCTAGCCTAATATAGCCTAAGTTTATTAGCGAAAGTGAAAAGATGTGCGCTATGTAATGTCAAATCAATCGACCCGCCAGCTTTCCCTCACCGTTTTCTCGCTGTCCAAACGGTGACAGCTAAGCTCGCTAACTGGCTAGCCGAGGTCCTGTTTACCATCATGGACAGGGAGGCGTACCGTAACTGCTGCAGCCTGGTCAAAATACCAAGACAGTCCTATGAACAGTTCTGGTCTTCGCATTTTGTAGATTACATCGACAAGGAGCTGAGCTATTCTAAGTTTTTCAAGAAATACTTGCTTCCCAATCACCCGTGTATGTTTTCAAGAAGGTTTACAGAGGACTGGAAGTGTAGAAAGCAGTGGGTGTCTGAGGAGGGGAAGCCTAATTTCCAGAAGCTGCTGCAAGAGTTTGGTAAATACTGTTACTAGATGGTTGTAGTGGGGAATACAGAGGTGGGTAAACTGTGGGTGAACTAGTTTGACACAGTTGATCTGAAAAGAGAGTTGGACAAACTGAGTTTACTTGGGTTCACCCCCCACCCACCCCTGCTTATTACTAATGTGTTAACTAACTACCATACATCATTATGCAGCTGTTGCAATGGCTGGTGTCATGTACTGAATAAAGATAGTTTATTTGTTGTTTACCACAGAGGAGACTCCTGTTCCTGTTGCAAACTGCAATGCAAAGGAGTACAATGCTAACCCTAAACAGGTGATGCCTTTCAAAGAGTTTATACACTACTGGAAGGAATACATTCAAAATGGCCACTCGTCGCCCAAAGGATGTCTCTATCTCAAAGACTGGCACATGTCAAGGTGAAATGAATGCTAATTCAGAAGCACTTTTTGTCTCACAGCACAATTTGTGTAACGACCCATGATTAATTGCATATTATTGTTCAACAGGGACTTTCCAGAACACAATGTTTACACCACACCGGTCTTCTTTTCTTCTGACTGGCTTAATGAATACTGGGATACTCTTGAGGTGGATGACTACCGGTTTGTCTACATGGGACCCAAAGGCTCATGGTAGGAAAAATGTAGCATAATGTTGGCAAAACACAATAATAGCTTTTTTTTTTTAAATTTTCAAAATCATATCAATAGGTTTATTATTATAGTGCAAACTAGTTTAGGATTTTGAAGACAATCTGATGCATTTTCTGGTCACCAGGACCCCGTTCCACGCTGACGTGTTCCGCTCCTACAGCTGGTCTGCAAACATCTGTGGCAGGAAGAAGTGGCTCCTGTATCCTCCGGGTCAGGAGGAGTTTTTACGAGACACTCACGGCAACCTCCCTTACGATGTGACGTCAGCTGAACTTCGAGACACGGGCCTTTTCCCACACTCTGAAGAAGTCTGTCAACCTCTTGAAATTATTCAAGAGGCAGGTGAAATTATTTTTGTGCCCAGTGGCTGGCACCATCAAGTTTATAATCTGGTAAGAACTGTAAAGGTCAGAGTAAAAACATGTACCGAAGGACATATTATACATCTCTGACATAGGAATTCTCTCTTTAATGCTTGTCTTAACAGGAGGACACCATTTCTATTAATCATAACTGGTTGAATGGCTGCAACATAGACATCATGTGGCAGTTCCTCCAGAATGAGCTATCGTCCGTTCAAAAAGAGATAAATGAGTGGAGAAACACTATGGACTCTTGGCATCAGCACTGCCAGGTATGTCCGGGATAAGACTGTTTGGCCTGCATGCTTTCAAGAAATATGCTGTTACCATCAATGTCTCCAATATCAAATGTGAAGTTATTGTTAATTTACTTGTCAGGTCATCATGAAGGCCTGCTCTGGTATCAACTATGGGGAGTTTGCCTCGTTCCTGAAAATCCTTGCTGACAACCGAATGGCTTTCCTGAATGCTTGTTCCTCTGGGGATTCCTCTGAATACCCACGACATCTCTCAGAGACCCTCACCACACTTGGACCTTACCATGCTGCCTTTGACCTACAAAGGGTGGCTCACATAATTGAGTGCCTACTCTGCAATGAAGACTTTAAGCGACTCGATCATTCAGCTTTGACTTTGCAGCCAGAAACCATGTTACAGCAAATCCGGGACACCATACAATCCACAAGAGGGCAGCATCTCCTTTATCAGGAATAAGATGTTCAGTGGTGTCCCAACAATATTAATAATCACCTGGAAATAGCTTGAATGAAAAGTGCCAATTTGTACCGTTAGAAAAAAAGATGATGATAAAGGTGTTATTATGCCTTTGGTCTGAGTTGAACTGCAGTCTCAAATGTTGCTTGTGAATGTTTGGAATTTGTTTTTGCACTGAACGATAAAGTGGATGAATAAAAAAAAAGAAAAATACACAAGTAGACTGAGGCTTTGTTTTGCTATTTTGCATCTTTATTCAAAAACAAACCAACACCATATCACAGTTGGTATATCGTGTTGTATAATGCTGGAACAGATCTGTTAAATAAAATCATTCTGTGGTAAATAATACTTTACAATTTGGGAACAATCACTCTAAAAGTAGGCTTTATTGCAAACAAAAATACTCACAAATATGGATTAGTGCCACACAGCTGTAAAGCAATGACAGTGTAACATACTGTACTTCGGGGTTCTGTGTAAGTCTGTCAGATGTGATATATGTCACATTTGAGGGAACTATGAAACATCCTCCTCTTCAGTTGATTTACACGTCTTTAGGCCACCAGTCTGGCACAGAGGCCTCAAGTGTCACTGCAGCGTCGTCAGAAGATTTGAGCGCCAACACCTCTTTGGCATGAGCCATGCGGATAAGGCTCAGACCGAGCTCTCCAACCCCTGCTCGGTGCTTCCCAGCTGGCTTTCCTGACTGAGTTTGCAGCGCAGCTCCTTCCTCCAGGTCTTGGACTGGAGCTGACAAGCGTACTGGCATCAGGCGTTTCCGAACCACCCCAGTGTGATGAGTCCTGGCTGTGAGCTCCTGACCAATGTAACAGCCCTTGCTAAAGCTGATCCCCTGCATGTAGACAAGATTTGACTCTAGTGGTAGCGCCACCCCGGGGGGAAGGTCCTTCACTCCCTCGGGAAGTCCTAGACAACAGTGACAGCAGAGGAAACAAAACTTGTCAAACAATGTCAAGAGCACATGTGCGTACAAATCTTCACTTCTTGTCCCATTTCTCTTTTAATACAAACTGCATGTAATCCAACACACTAGCTGGTCTTACCTATTGCATAGCGATGTCTGTGATACTCTTGTGTGTCACCTGTCTGGCATGATGCAATGATATCCACGGGGTCAACTTGACTGTTCACCACCAATCTCCAGCCCATTTCCTGAGTTCGAGGATCAGTCTCCCATACCAGAGCTTTGTCTGGGGAGGAGAGCTCTGGTTTACTGGCCTCTTGACCTGTGTTCTTTTCCTTGGGCAGCACTGCCCATACAGAGAGCTCCGGACAGGTGTTTATGTTGACCTTTCTGCGGATCTTGTACATCTTCAAATGTCTCAAGATCGAGTCCTTAACCGTGGAGTCAAACTCGAGGAAAACACCAGGTCTTTCATCGGCTTCTTTCAGACTGAAAGGAAAGACAGCAAGTTTAGAAGTGCCTCGTAAAAAAAGAAAATCCACCAACGAAACTATCCAATCAGTTAATTGGAGGAGTTATTTTATGATGACGCAACAACATAGTTTCATGGTGAACACTTTGAACTTATTATACACACTTTTTTTAATATGCCTGGCCGTTTTCAGTTAATGATTTTTTGATTTTATGCACCCATGCATGTTGGCTGATTAGATGGGACCTTGGGTGGAGCTATGATGGGAGATACATTATGTCAGCAAAGTCTTAAAAATGATAAAGTTGTCCTCTGAACAAAAATGATTCATGTCTGCTGAAAATATTGTATTTTATGTCCCATGTCGTAGAGAGGCTGCACACCAGGCCAAAATATTGTTATTTGTGGGGGTGCCCAAACTTCTGCATACAACTTTATAGATTAGGTAAGTTTATTCACAAATAGCTGCTCCAGCAATGCAATGCAAAAACAAAAAACTGTTTCATAGCCTCAATGAAATGGCATTTTGGCAGGATTTCACTTCCTTTATTTGGCTATTGAAACATAACAGGGGAAGGGTAAAGTTCACAGGTTCAAATCAGGAGATCAGTTAGGGATATGTAGCTGCCAGGCACACGGACGTCATTACATTTTTAGTTTTAATGCATGTATCTACTGTTCTAGAAAATAATTAAGACAAAACTAAAGAAAGGTAATCCATTTTTGTATATCTAATGTAAAACAAGTCCATATTTTGAGAGTACAACAAACTAGCTGGCAAAGTTAGTTATTTTTCCCATTTGAATTACCTCCCTGTAGGACTGTGGAATAAATGTATCTCAGTTTAAAGCGACCTGGACAAGAAAGCTTAAACTTAAGAGACTGGTTGTACTTAACTGTTTTAGCCAGACTGTGCTGCCAGCAGCTGCTTACAAGATAAGTAGCCACACCCTCGCGTTTGCTGAAAACCTGTACATGCGAGCGTTTAAACGGCACAATGAAGTGTACTGTACCTGTACAACATGATATCATACAGTGTCCTCCCTTGTACATTTAACATGTGTGAGTACATGGCTGTGTGTCCTGGCTCGTCCAGCTGCTCCATGTCATTGGTTATAATCCCCTGGAGAAACGGGCTTGTTTCTTCTCCCTGGATTTTCAGCAAGGTCCTGTGAGGAAGGCGATAGCACACAAACTGTCCGGGGACATCTCTCCCGTTACCGGTGGACTGGCTGTAACTCTTCACACGGACCCCGGCTTGAGCTGAAACACCGGAGAAAAAGGTTACGCACACATACCGACCGGTGTACTTTCTGGCGTAAACTCCGAGACAACCGGCGGACGTGAACGCCCCCCGAGCTAAACACAAAGCCCCCATATTGTACATTGTCGCTGGAGTGGAAATGAAGTGGCTGCTTCGCCTGTTAACGACAGTGGACGGCTACATAACACAGGACATAGCAGACGAGTCCCGGAGCAAGAACTCCATTTTGATGTCCCAGAATGCATTGCTCGATAATATTGGAGCACGTGTGTATGTGACAGTATGGTTGCACTGTCCTCCAGCTACTTGTATTTACTTCACTTTTAGCTGTATAGTAACGCCTAACTCCGTTTTTATTGAGTATGACTGAATCAACATACATCAATAATTAAATACTACTAATAACACTAACAATAATAATAAAATAGCATGTTGGCTCCCACTGACAGGTAATGCCAAACAACAAATGCATGTGACATCTCTGTATGTTTTCTTATTGAATGAAGACAACAACAACAAAAAAGTCAGTTATATCAGCATAAGAAAATTTTCCTGTGTTTTTGTTATAACAACACACCAGCTTATAGACCTTATATTTCTTCTTACATCTGAAAATCTTCTCAGCTTTGTTGTCTTGTTATAACAAGACATGTACAAGATATGTTTGGCATTATAACAAAAAGCTTTCATATGGGCCCCATAAGCATTGCAATGTAAAAGTTAACACAAGTTAACATGCACAGAGATGACTAGATAGGGCTTTTATTAAACAAAGCGTATTGTATTAAATATAGCCTATTGAAAAGTAGAAACAGTTTTACCTCTTAAAAAGGAGCATAACTTCTTATTGATCAACTTGAGTCCTGGAGTCTTGATTAATGTACATAATTAACAATATTCATTTCTGATAAATTTAAGGTTTAAGTAAGCAGTGACAAACCTAATAGAATAACAACTAACAAACATCTTGGATAAGCTAAAGGCCATGTCTAAACTGAAATACTCCGTCAGCTCTGTAATGGCTATACTTCACTCCACTGATTATGAATATGAAAAGAGCAACTGCAAATTGTCAGCTAATTATAATGACAAAATGCTGAACAGGCTTCATAAGCAATGTAACGTGCCTCCCACCAAAACTCTATAAACATTAACTGCTCAGTAAAACTCCTTAGCAGATGGGGGAAATACAAAAAAAACTAGCACACACACACGTCTTAGTGTTACAGAGCAAAATGTGCAACTAATTACCAGGTAAAAGATTTAAAAGATACAAGCCTATTTTTTAACAAAACTGGTGGAAAATAGATAATGAATGGCTTTTTACTGATTTGAAAGAGCACCAAATGGCTTCAGACACATTCAACATTTCAAAACTTTTATTTTTAAGGAACAAGCTGGTTGTAATGTCATAGGATATGATTGGACACCAATTGTTCTCTCTGTTACTGATTTGTTGATGCACCAGATGTGGAGTGCCACTTCAGGGAGGGGAATTGATAAGGTTTTATTTATACCAATTCCATTATTGGTCCAATTCTTTATCGATTCCCCTTGATTCCTGATCAATTTTCTGTGTAAAAAAAAGTAGGCCTACACAGGTTTTTTCTGTGAGTCTGAACACAGTGTAGAGACATTAGAAAAAAAGCATGAACATGACTCAGGTGTGCAAACACTCCACCGTTTAACTGCTGTTTAATGTATAATCAGTTCTCAACTAGTTTTTATTTAGATTTTCTTAGTCAAAGAAATAATCTGCTAAACCTGCCTGTGTGGTACTAATGTTATTATAATACTGGTAATGTGCGTTGAGTGTAACTCCTTACAAGGAAAGTGTATTACTGCTCTTTCCACCCTGACTTTAAATTAGCATTGCACAGAAGTTACTACTAGCACTCTTGTCCTCGTTCTTTGTGAAATGTAACCAGCTTTGGACAATTTCTTCCTTTCCTCTCCATAACTCCTTCATGTTGCAAGTTTCCAGCAGCGTAGATGCACAAGTTTTAACTCTGTGTTCTGCGATGCGCAACTGTCATGACGGCATTGATAAAAGAAATTGATAAGCATGGATGCATATGATTCTCCATTGCTATATACAAAGAAACCTAACCCACACACATTCTGTGGAAATTGTGTCGACTTTAGACATATATACAGTATATTCATAGGTTACCTTTAACTATTGGAATGCACTGATCATTTGAGATACATTTATAATCATTTTTCAGATGGAGTTTTGTGGATTGATGGGTTAGTTTTGGAGGTTTGCAGTCGACACCTGGTGCTCCAATTATAAGTGGATGGAAAAATGGGTGTTTGTCTCCATGAGTCAATCTTTTGACACATGGACACCCTGAGTCTTGTTTTAATAATAAAAGTACGATTTTAATAAGTTTTTTTTTATTGCGGCCTGTAATATATTCTGGAAAAGTGCTGCTTTTCCCTTTTTATAGTATTTCCCCATATTTAAGACAATAAAATGCTGTGCGATTTCTGAGGTTGTAAAAAGTTTATGCCCCTCCAGCACCAACACTTTTTTGCTGTAAGTTCGATTATTCTTATTATAGGTTTACTGCCCCATACATTTCAAAATTCTTCTTAGAGAACACACACAAAGGGACAGTTTGAATCAGTTTGTATCTGAAAGGTTTTTTCTGTAACAACATACCTGTCTATAAACTTTATCGCAAGCTTCTAACTTTAAATTAGACTTTTCATTTTGCAGTTTCAAGAATGCACCATTGCCCAGCAGATGTCTATTGTAAAGCAAGAAATCAGAGGTTTCAAATAAGTTTATTTCTTCATGAACAGTCTTTAAAAGTTTGAGGCACTTTGAAGTATGACAACAGTGAAGGCAGGATTAAATATTACTCTAAAACCAACTCTAGAAACATACTGCTTCAATGACAGAATAAACTTTACATGCCTAAACATAAGATAAATGTAGAGCTAAATGTAGAGCTAAGGTTGGGGTTTCTACTGTAGCCTATGTGTATACTGTTCTCAGTTGTAAAGCATGCATCATCTGCTTCAGATTGCAGAAAATCAGTATTTAGTTTAGAAAATAATCAGATTTTCTATTCACTTACCTCTTCCCCTTTAGATGTGACTGCAAGGCTTTAGAAAATATAGAATAGATAAAGGCTTTGCACGCAATGACTGAAGATCATCACACTGAGCAGATGTTAACCAGAAGAGCCTACAGTGACACAGCCCTGTTTCATTATCTTTATCAAAATATTTCACATTTAATCTGCTTCCAGCAACACTCATCCATACTACATCCAAAAATACCCCAAATAATAAACATGCATCGTTCCAACAACAATCATCGTTCTTCAGAAATGAGTCATTGTGCATTTGTACAGTGTTTTTCACTGCATTTTTAAATTTGGATTGAGGGTACAATCACACACTTAGAAAGTTAGATTTCCTCAAATTAATCCAGTTCAGCGGCAGTCAAGGGTAGATCAAATAAATAGCTTGAAGCAGTCTGTTTATACTTTGACATTTTAGCTGGAATTAGAGATGTTTAACTAAGTAAGCACATGTTAATCTTCCAAAAGCTATGGCAAGCACAAAAAGACACACTACAGTAACAAAGAAGATTCATGGATTTGATAATTTCGTCATGTGTGTTTTCTTTTTTTTTAATTCCCAAAAACTGTGTATTGTACTCCTTCAGCTGGTGTGATTGAAATTGTTGTTATTGTCCAAAGTCGCATCTTACGCACACACACATATCCTCCAGCTGTGTCTCAGTGCAGTCCTAGAGTCCTAAAAGGTTTTAATTTTTAATTTACTAAATTAGATTTATCTAGATCCAGACAGAGGTCTTTCCATTTTTTACAATGGTTGCAGCCTTCTCTGTGGCTGATTTCGGCCTCGCTCCTTGTTTCTCCTGGACTGCATTGACTCGATTTTGCTCTGCCATGGTGCCCCCAGATACAGGACTACTGGTTCTGGAGGTTTGCTGGTTGGTTTTGGTTTGATATGTTTGGAAGGCCATATCAAGCTGTTCCTGGGCAACACGTAAGTGCCGGTGTAGGCTCGCCAAATCAGAAGGGATGTTCTCATCTGGGCTGGTGCACTGCTGTTCCTGGGCCACGTTGGCCACGTTCTGCTCATGGGTGATGAGGCTGTTGGGGATCCTGCTAGGTTTGTCTGTCTTCATCACAAGGTTGTACCCCGGAGGGGAGGCTGGGATGTTGCGAGAAAACGGGTAGCCGTAGGACATCCGCCGGCCCCGGTTCCTCTTCATGCGAAGGGTGTCCCGAAAAGTGCCGATTCCTAAGTGAAGCATCTCACAAACATTTAGCACGAGACAAAGACAGCTTACCACATACATGATAAGGAGGAAGATTGTTTTCTCTGTGGGCCTGGAGATGAAACAATCCACTCTGTGTGGACAGGGCACCCTATTGCATACATATGAAGGATTAACTCGAAAACCATAAAGGAGGTACTGTCCAGCAAGAAAAGCTATTTCAAAAATAGCTCGTGACATCAGCTGAAGAACATAGATTCTCATCAGACCTTCTTGCATAATCTTCCGGCGGCCATCATGTTTTGGTGGGTCTTTAGTGCTGCTCACTGGTTCAGGTTTGGCCTCCTGTACCTCCAGTGTATCCTCATAGATCATGGGCTCAGCATCGTCATCTTCATCCTCCTCTAAGACGTCCTCCAGATGGTGGCTCTCTCTCCATCTGGAGTGAGGAGGTTTTTTGCGGAGCCTGTTGTGTTTCCTGCGCTCCTCATCTGAACTTCGGGCTATCTTGTGGATGGCGTAACCCATGTACATGATGGAAGGAGTGGAGATCATGATGATCTGGAAGACCCAGAAGCGCACGTGCGAGAGAGGGGCAAAGGCATCGTAGCATACGTTGTCACAACCTGGCTGCTTGGTATTGCAGGTGAACTTGGTTTGCTCGTCCGAGTAGATTGACTCACCGCCAACCGCTGTGAGCACAATGCGGAAGATGATTAGCACAGTCAGCCACACTTTCCCCACAAAGGTGGAGTGGTTGTGGATCTCTTCCAGAAGACGAGTGAGAAAGCTCCAGCTCATGTTGCTCTAACAAGCTTTTCAACTAGAATCTGTAAAGAAAAAATAAAGAATTGATTAAGATGTAAGTAGGGACCTGTTGAAAGCTGATTTGCAAATTAATTTAATGTTACTAACCAAATGCAGACTAGGGCCGCAACTAGTTATTTTCAACCTCGATTAATCTGCAGATTATGACCTAAACTTATTACTTCACAATACGTATTTTATTCAACCACCACTTAAAAAACCCAAAGATATTCAGTTTACCATTATATAAGGCTAATAAAACCAGCAAATAATCACATTTGAGAAGATGGAACGAGATCATTCTTGGCATTTTTGCTCAAAAAATGACATAAATGATTGATTTGACTTTTCCATCAATTAATTGATAAATCTAATAATCATTTAAACTCTAATCCAGTGTGGACCTATAGCTTATAGGAAATGTGGCATGCTTTTCAAAGGGAAACAAATCAATTACAAACACAGTCACTGTTATTCTGTAATTGTGTTGTCAGTTTAAAATCAATTAATTGAGTAATATATGTGTCACATATATGTGAACAGGGATGCCCAAACTTTGAAGGGCCAAAACTGAAGACCGAAAAGCAGCACCTATTGTATTCTTAAGATGCGAAATGATATTAGGATCCCAAAGTCCCTTAATTGAAAGTGTCACTCTTCTCGCCATGTTCAGATTATGAAAAATAATTCATATTTAGGGATCCTATATATTTAAAGAACATTCTAGCTCATAAATATAAACCACTTTAAAGATAAATTTATGTTATAATTTTGTTTTTAAATAGTTTTTTTTTGCTAGAAACATCTTTCAGGCCAAATCGAACCTTATGGTGGGCCAGCGGGCCTCACTTAGGACAGCACTGCTTGTGACAATGTACAGTTTGCAAATGTCTCAAACATCAACTGTAGTCATCTCCACAGTATTACTTTGCGATGTAGAGGAGACGTTCATGTTGAGTTGATTGCAGTCAAACAACAGACAATGGCTTGTGTCGATGCATGTTGGTAAGCAGGGTGATGTCATTCAGCCACCATATCTAAACACACAGTATGCAGTATTTCTAGTATTCCAGTCTAACAGAAAATGGCAAATAGCAAACGTAGCAAAGGGAAGATTAAAACAAACCGCCAGCAACAAAAATCACTTTGATTAGAGCTTTGACCCAAGAACATGCTGAACACTAGAAGAGGGTGACTGAAAACACAAAACGAATCTGACAGCTCTGAATGTATGAAAAGCCCATTCTGCTACAAGAGTGCACTCCACTCAGAGTGCCACTTCAGAAACATACTGTACTCTGCGTTTCTTCATGCCAAGGGACACAGACACACACACACACACACACACAGAAAAACAGATGACATAAAGCCTCACAGTCACTACTGACACTGTGAGGTGAATGAAGCTGCGATGAGGAGACAGCATAGTGTGTCTGTCCCTTCATTCATGGGGCAGAACTGCAGAGTTAATGTTGATCTCATGACTGCGTTCCCCGGTGTGGGATGTGCCATCTCCCCTGCCATCTGAGTAAACAGGAGAGGCTTGTTGCTCTGCCACGAGGCCTCCCCTCCAGATCCAGCACTGCTGACGCTGGGGAGGGGTACAGCCACATGGAGACAGATGGCACCTATGGTGGGCAGCTCATGTCTGCCCCAGGATGGCATGACAGGAGGGACGCTACACTGAGGATTTACACCAAAGTTTGAATACATCTGCTGTGTATCATAGCATCAACATTATACCTTAATATCATAACAACAACATTATACCTGATCTTGACATATCTGCCTGATGTGTTCTACAGCTTGTTATGTTAATTATTTGCTGCTTTGTCTGGCTTTAGTTTTTTGTTACCGTTTTAACTAGGTCTCCATTGAAAAGAGGTTTCTAATTGAAGTGGGACTTGCCTGTTGGATATATAAAGATTTGATTTAACTGAAGATAAAGAGTGACATGTTCACATTAAGAGCAGCAATGTAAATGCAACATAATGTACGTTTCTCCTTTTGACAATGTATAGCTTGAGATCATGTTTGGGTTCATGAAGTCTTTCTTCTGTTGAGATATCATACAAAGCTACGTACGCCAAATAATAGATATTTTTCATTTCTAATATTTTTTAAATGGCCAACAACAAGGGCCATACCTTTTAGGATTTAAATGTTTCAGAAACTTATTTTACAGTATTAGCTACAAAGGTATTGTAGTTACAAAAGAACCTTAGGATTTATCAAATACATTCACTCATGATTTTTAGATTCTAAAAAGTAGAGCCACTTTTTAATAGACATATTACAAATGGATATTCTTACTGTAAATTAAGGTAACAATATTTTAGATGATATAGGTATAGTTAAGAACCTACTGTATGCATAAGATATTGTTCAATTGTAGGACCAGGAATTTCATCATAAATGCAGGGGCAGTCTTATTTTACATGAATTAGGGTGCATCATATTGTTGGATGAAAGTATAACAATGTCTTCTTTAAACGTTAGTTATATTCCTTTGTCACTATAGCAGAATATTCACATTTGAATGACAATGACATGAAATGATCTTTTAGAAGCGTTAATTCAGACACAGAAGCAGTCCAGAAATTCCCTGTAACAAAATGTGATGTGTGTTTATATGACAGGATAGTCTATATCATATAGTTTCTTTAGGGGAAAGTCAATAACGGAAACAACCCACCTGGAAAAGTTGCACATGCATTTCCCATCCTGAACGTCTCTTCTGCCTTTTCTAGACATCCCCTGCACAGTCTGATCCATGGAATACCACTTCCATCCTAATATCCTGGCCTTTTCCCTTTATTGACAACTTCGAGAATAGCAAAAAACGGGAAAACAATGACCGAACTTAGACTAGACTTTCTATATATCCTGTTTTCCCACTCTGAAGAAGTGAGGTCTCGCCGCTGTGAATGCCTCACATTCTGGCTTGTGTCTGGTTTCTATTACACCAGCCTTCTGCCCAAGAAGGAAGTATAAAAAACAGAGAGGCAGAAAAAAATCCTCCTCTGGCAAGTGACCCTCATCCAAGGGTTCAGACTTGAGGATATCGTACTGCAGATTGAAATGAACACCCAGCTGAGGGAGCGTGTTAATCGCAACACAGTCAGCCTTTCCCCAATGCTCATGTGCAACATTTTCAACACAGATGATGAGGGTCTCTCTCTCTCTCTCTCACACTGTTTCTCTTACTTTCTCTCTTTCTCTCTACATCTCCATCAATCTATATATGTCAGCCTCTTGCAGGTTAACATCTTCATGTCCTCCAAACATTTATGCAGCATCAGCAGTAGCTCACTGACACACAAAATATGTATATAAAGTTGTGGCAGACTTTACATTTGCAAATATTCAAAAAGGCCATTAACAAAACATCCACAGCTCTTCCTCTCTCTCTCTCTCTCAACCTCTCTGTATCACACACATACACATCAACCACAGTAAATGCAGATTAGCCACCTCTATATTATCTGTCAATTACATAACAGTTTACAGTGGGTGACAGTTATGAAAAAACAACTTTGGGGAGACAAAGACAGGGAGTTTGAGGACAGAAGTGTCATTGAGACATAAGCCACCTTGCCTCTGTGCAGATCCGCTAGAATGTAACCAGCAGGTACACTCAGTCATATCAAGTGTCATAATATTTAGATCCTCCATCCAGGCAGATGGCCAGATAACAGAGCAGAGGATGGGTCGCATTCTGTACTCCCACTACACATCTTTTCCGACTTCTTGTTTATTCTTCAAGCTTTCACCTCGTCCTGCAGAGCGCAGTAGCACACGTTGTTACTTAAGGCATGTGATGGATTTTTTTTTTTTTACGAGAGGAGAAAGAGCGACTATATGTGGACAGCAGTCTCTCTCTCCCTCGCACACACACATATAATTAATTTTTTTTAAGCCTGAAATGACACGACAAAGTACAGATCAGGAGGTGATTCATGCAAGATTAAAATCAGAAAGGAATTTCTCCATTTCTTTATTTTATGTGCCAGACCTTGCTGTCAAGTTTGGGAAGGGATATCAGCTCAACTACTTTTAATAGACGACAGACAAACGGGTGGGTGTCTGGCTTGCATTAATGAAATGTGTCTGGTCATTGTCACAGGGAAAATATTATTATAATGTTACTTTCACAAGGCCCTCAATAACCCTTAGTTATGACCTGTATACAGCTATAAAGCGAAGAATAACGTTCAGCAACATCAGTAGGGCCACCATAAATCACATTGCAGTTTTAACTCAGTTCCGCAAATGATGATGAAAAATTCTTGAATTCATGTGTCTTGATATAAGAATATGAGACTGTTAGTCAGAGAGCCAAGACAACTGCAACGAGACATGAGAAAATACCATCACATGAGAAGTCTTTGCATTTAAATCTTGTTCTGTTTGAGTAGTTTGTGGTCTAAAGAACGCTTTAAGAGCCCAGCCATCTGGGCCTGCAGGATGCATCCTCCAGAGGCCTCGCCTTCAAGGCTCCCCTCACCGTCTGACTGAGGAGATGTGGCGTAGCGAGCACCCCTGGTGCAGCACTGAGGAAAAGGAGACGGGGGATGCTGCTGGAGTGACTAGAGCATTTGGGGTTTGGACATGTGCTATCCCTAAGGGACGGATGAGCACGTGTTTTGAAGTTGCAGCGCATTCCTCTCCATCCAAAATCTTCACGTCATCCAAAAGACACAGATGGTCCAGTGGAGATGGTTGATAAGTGAACATTCAACCGAAGTCAATTAGAGTGTATGTTCCTAGACAGTTAGAGAAGAACTTGCTGCCAGTGGTTAACTCTCATTGAGGTTTTATTATGCTTTAATTGAATAATCTATCTTTGATGTTAATATACATGTCTCTTTATTAGGTCAAAATTATATTTAAAATAGGGTTTATTGCTTTCATCAATTGTGGTTAGACATATTTTTAACTATACTACTAAAATAGTACTAAAAACTTTAGTTTTACAAATCTGACATGGCAAGGTAACCAGGTAACTGTCTATACAATAGAAACAGACATATTACAATCATATGTCTTTTATTTTAATTATTGACAAATAGTTGATAATTATCAGTCAGGGATAAACATGGATTACCATTAATAAATGTCTCCACACTGGGGCAGTTAATTCCATTGTTCTGTCATGATAGAGCAGCATGTATGTGATAAATGCAAAACTGTATTTTTGACAACAGTTCCTTTCTTCAGGAGTGAATTAGTATTTGCATTAAAATATTAAAATTGCTCAAAACAAAAGTGCACAAATGCATGGAGTCAAACCAATGTCTAGTTTTGAATGTGTTGTCCCCGTGTCCTCTGACAATTCAGGCTATTCTAGCTTTGGGAAACTGTGGTTCATGTTGATAAATATTGATTGAACTGCCCAGAGCCAGGAAAGTGTTACAGTATTCCCCTGTAAGACACTGTCTGACATTGCTGTTGTCACAAGGACTGGCATCATGTGACCCAAATGATGGTGTTTAATATTCATTAGGTTCAAGTTATATTTAGTGTTAAATGTAAAATACATTTTTTTCAACTGTGGTAGCATCTGTGAGATATAACTGTCAAAAAATCAAAGACAACTGACAAATAAACGATTCACTTACAATTTTTAAATAATAATAATTCATATTTATTTAATTTTGCACTTCTTGTATGAGCCATTTCAGACATTTATTGCAATTTATTAAATGTATACTGTCAGTGACAGAAATATTTTGACCGAATGATTTTTTATTCCCAGACAGTTTCACTTTTAAGAGGTCACTGGAAGCTGTGAGGGTTTGCAGGGTAGCCGAGTGTTGAAGTGATGCAACATGGAGGAGTGAACATCTCGAACAACTCTCCTTGGCCGCCACCAATGTCATCACAAGAGTTTTATCCACATGTATTTACTGAAAAAAGTTGATGCGAGCAGACTGGGGGCTGTGGAGGTCGGTGTTTATATAACAGATCAAGCTCCACCATGTGACTTGGATGCCCCCCCCCCGCCTCCACCCACCCTCAGAGAAAAGAGTGACACAAGACACCAGAGCAAAAACATGCAACTTGGTGCTTGGACTCCTCCTCTCTCTCATTTCTCCTACCACTATCATTAAACTGCTCTTACCAGGCTGTGGGGGGCTATCCCATAGGCAGCCTGAGAGTGGTGGCAGTCCCATCTCATTTGTTCATTTTTCTCCCAGTTTCTCAGCTGAGCCTATCCTACCCCCGGGGTGAGTGCGTCCCGTGCCAGTTTTACTAAGGCTGGTCTCCACTGAAGCGACTGAGATGAAAAGCCTTGAGGTGGATGCCAACAACTTCCCTCAGCCAGGGCTCTGCGTCTCTGCATTACACTGTTTTAACACTGCACTCACAAAACAATGGAAACTTGTTTTTATTACTAGTGTACTTTGGTTCAGTTGCTATAAAATAAGCCAAGCCACTGGTGTACAAAAAACAAACACAACCTATGTGGTTAATATGTGTGAAGGGAATAAACTAGTCAGGTGTTTCATTATATCTCAAAACTATTTACCATAACAGGTAAAACCCTCATATTCATTCCATGTTATACATCTTAAAAACTAAAGTCTTAAATTTATTCTTAAATTATTTAAAGCACAGGAGCAAATGAATGTGTAGAGCAATATTTGAATAAGGTTCAATTTTATTGCCTTAATATACTCTAATCATTCTGGTAGGTAGTAAAGATTTGCCACGTAAAACTCTTAATATACATCAGTGTGGATGCTTTATGTAAGGTATTTGGCAGACCTATAGACATTAAGAGCTCAAAAATAATGTCCCATTTATTTTTATGTGTTTGTGAATAGGAAGTAAAAAAAAAGCACAGAGTGAGTGTTGCTTGACCCATTAGACATTTCTGTCACAGTTAACACTCTGCTATGAACTGATTTTTTCTGCCAGTTCTATTTCTCACAGAAAAGTTGTAAACTCCAGTGGTTTGTCTGTACATAACTGACAGTAGGCTGCACAGTACAGTGGGGCCATATAATGTTTGGCCTTTGTCAACATTAACTTCAATTGAAAAAAAATAAATAAAAGGGTGAGTAGATGGAGACTATGTCCTTATTCTGAAAGGAAAAAAAATACTACTCATGTTAAAGTACATCACGAGAAGAGTACACTAATTTGAATGTGCTCGACAGCCCTTGGATCACAGGGGTCCTTAAAAGTATCTTGTAAATAAGTATTTTGTATTTCCTCAATGAATGAATGAATTTTATCTCTGCCAGTGTGGTAAAACATTTTGGCCAAAATAAAATGAATACACAATTTATCATAGTTGAACCCTCAAGTGAATTAATAAAATAGCATTTTCTTTTATCAAAATGTACATCATCTTTAATTGTTTTACTGCCCATCATTATTCTTACACACAGTGGCTGATGAAGTTTTCCATCAGGGCAGTAAAATCCAACACACAGCCACCCATCCAAATAAACAAAATAATAGCGCTTTCCTTGCAGAGCTTGAGGGCCTTAATCTTTGACATTATCTTGTCTTAACTGGCTATGTCATGAGCTGATCTGAGGCAAGCCCAAAGGAGCGGCAGACCTAGTCAGGGTCATTTGGACTACCAGAGATATGTTTACTGCATCTCCTTCCTTCCAGATGCCTTTGCACCATTGCCCTTCTCCAAGTCAGTGAACTCCAGACACTGGTAGCAATGCTGCAGGACCACTGATAACAGCAATACACCCTCTTTGGCGCACACTTACGAAATAAAAGCTCAGATCAGAACTGTACATGTGCACATACTGTATAGTGTACTATAGTTAACACATGTTAGAGACACATTTCAAGCTTGACTATTTAGGCAGTGAAATTGCTAAGAAAAGGCGATACATTTACCTTCAAGGTCATTAGGTTTTTTTTGTAAAAATGTGTGTAATGAATATTTTCTTGATGCACTAAATAGAAATAGAAGAGGACCTGCTAAAAAAAATACATATTAATCAATGATAATATATATGTTTGCTTTGAAAACCTGTAGCTTATCTACTTTTGTCAGTGTATGTTTTTATCCACTAGATGGCAATCATGTATTCAACTGACTTTCCTCATGGACTTTGACAAATATTTTGGACACTATCTGAGGTTAGTGACCTGTCTACCCAGCATGTGAGAGGACAGCAGTCCTGATATTGGGGTCAATGACCCAGTTTAACATTAAAAGAAACCAGTGTCAGACTGCACAAAGTTCAAAGCTGAAGACATTCACTGCACCCAATTATGGTAGCAGAGGAGTGCAGTGTCTAGAATAAATACTTGAAAAGTTGATACTGTACAATTCATTAGCGGCATTGTCATTTGCAACTACAATATGGCATACAAGCTTTCACTAGAAATCCCAACAACTACAACTCATATGTAAGCTACATCAAACAGGAAGGGTTGTTATACATGCTGTAGTCTCATTGTTTCAGGCTTTCCTGTTACATTGCTCACAGCACTGTGACACTGAAATAGGTTATTTTTATTTTTCTGATTTGAGAAAAAAATAGTTTTCCTACCTAATATGTTTTAGTTTTGTTTTAATTCAATTATATTCTGTCAAGCACCAAATCAAAATATTAATTGTTTTTACTTTATACTTTATAGAAACAGTACCATTCAAAAGTACAGGACATAAACCAATAACTTTTTTTAGTGTTCAGCTGTCTACTAGAATATGAATTTGAGCCTCTATGGCAACAAAATAATGGTGTTTGTGGTAGAAAATCAGACATTATTAGACATTATTTAATCATTGTTAAAATGTGTTATCTCTTGACTAACTCAAAGGAACATCGAGGTCTTTGGCATCAAACTTAGTTCAGACTGTCCAAGCGAATAAATTACTTATTTTTAATTTATAATTAGTCTTTATTAAATTCGGAATGAATTATCAACTAACAGAATAGCTTAGTTTTGCTTCCTGGCCAGTACTTTCGTAGATACGTTCACTGTAGGACAACGGACAACAACCAGAGACTATTTTTTTTTTATCAGTCAGTGCTCATAGAATTTCTCCGGATTTAATTTAAACAATTTATTTTTAATGAAACAACACATAATAAAGTCAGCTCTATTTTCAGGGATGAAATAGAGATCACTGACACCATGAAACAACAATACAATATGAGACAATGGTCAGCTGCATGAAAAAAACTAAACCTCTTAACACAGCGTTAAGCCCGACTTTGGGTCTCTTTAACCATCTTTATTAAGATTATAATATGAATAAACTATGTATGCAAAAATGTAATGAGCAGACCTACTTATTTTCCGCCAGTTGACTTCAAGTTGAGGTTACATATCCAGTTGAATTCAAATGCTGGCAAATGTATAAAGCCAACAACTGCATACCCTGGGAGCCTTCAGCATAATCCACCACTGTGAAAAAAAACGACAATAAAAGGCTTTACCTACCTGTCCATGTGGATAAAGCAGGAGCTTATTCTATGCTTTATAGTAGGTCATCCTGGGCGGGCATCCAGAGGCATCGTTTCACTGCTCAGGCTCACAAGCAGGATGAGAGAGACAATGGGTCGTTTTTCTTCAAAACCCCTCACCACCAAGTACAGGCAGGACACTCAGGAGACCAGCTTCCTGCCAAAGGCCCCATTGTTTCCCCAGCTCGTCCGCCTGCTTTGCCATGACCACTGACTGTTTGACTCCTACTACCACCCCATTCATTCACCCAGAAATTAACAGTGACGTAGCTCTGGACCTCCAAAACCTTGCTTTTCCTGATTTAGCTCTTTCAGTGCGCATAAGTGTGAGTGCGGATGTGCATGACATATGAGATTACTACCAAAGTTATCACAGGTTATCTGCCTTATTTCCAACATAATTTTTGTAGGCGTTTAGTCAACCGCATTTCTGGGTGTTCTACACATTTTTAAATCTGTTTGAACCTTTCCTATGATGCACATTGTGAAGAATATTTGTGCAAGAATGAACTGGTTTGAACTGCCACTTTCAAAGGTTATTTTCAAGGCCAAGAAAGCTTTTGTGAGTTTGTTTCCTTAGCTGGATGTACAGGGCTGTTGTTGTTGTTGTTGTTGTTGTTCTTTAGGTGATGGAAATGTGGCGTGACACTGCCTTTTCCTGATGTGCCATGGCATGCCAACTATTTGGTGATCACAAAAGATCTGATATTCTTTTTTTGGCACTGTGTTTGTCCTCTTTTTGTATCACAAAAGGAAAAGTAGCACCTTGTACTGTATAATAATCAACTTAAAATATATTCATATATACCCCAAAGTGTTCTAAGACAACTGAGACTATGTAAAACAATAACAAGTGAATATTGTCATCAAACTATGTTTTCGATTTAAGCTGTAACGATATATTAAATAATAATTAAAAAAACTAAACATTTATTAATTGATTCTAAGCATCAAATAGCACATAAGTTATGAGTAAGAAGGAATACATCAAAAGTCTAATCAATTAATTACATTTTGGAATAATCTCACCCCTATTAAGAAACAAGTTGATATGCTATGATATCCACATCAACATTTAAAGCATTTGTCTCCCCAGAAAGGATTCATTGTATTCTTTAAAAAATGCTTCTGCTGCAAATTTCAGCTCCCAGCAGGAAGCTGTTGAGGAATTTGTTTGTGCTTCAAAGGTCATGGATGTTGTGTGTTAATGTCAGACTAGAAACAGCCAGTGCTGGAATGGAACTAAGCACATTTACTCAAGTACAAATCTGAGGTATTTGTACCTTACTTGAGTAGTTTCTGCTCATGCCACATTACACTTACTTCCTTACTACTTACTTTACTACTTACTTACATACTTCACTACAAATAAAATTATTGATAAAATTATTGATTGATATTGAATTATTTTAACTCAACTACAGTTATCTGACAGTTATAGTTACTTTACAAATTATACAGATTATTGCACAACATTTAATGGGTCTAGCTTCTCATATATGAGGATTCCTTGCTTTTCTGTTTAATAATTGACATTTTTAAAAACTGTTTTGAGGTTTGAACTAATCGTTGGAGTATGGCCGCTGCTGACGTGCTGCGTGTGTCTAACCCTCATTTTAGTGTTTTTAATGTACCAGTATATGCTGAACAGGATGAACAGGAAGATATTATCTGGGGAGGCGTTGCCCATCCTCACGTCCTGCTTCCTGATGAGCCAGCTCCTGACTGAAGCGGCACCCGGGGCCAGCTTTCCAAAAGAGTAAAGAGAACAAGACAGAGACAGAGAGAGATACAGATACAGAGATGCACAGCAATAACCAAGCAACAGTAACAATTATACTAGTAGAAATTACTAATAATAATGATGGTGATGATGATGATGATGATGGTGGCGAAAACAGCTATTATGATGATGAATGAATAATAATAACAACAATAAAAAAGTCTGGGGAAGAAGATAAGTAAGTAACATGGGTTAATGGGACATGAATGTGTACAGATATAAAGGGAGAGGAGGAGAGGAACTCCGCCCCTGCCAGTCTAGGCCTAGAGCAGCATAACTAAGGGATGGTT